GAATGCCATACATGGGTGCTAAGAATTTTTATGGGTGCTTAACTCATTTCTTTCTCTTTTTTCTTTGGCATTGATGACTTGTTCTTGTGTGAAGGATGACCACTAACACCTCTGGCCATCTTCTTATGCATTAGGGCTCTAGTCTCTCATCTCCATTCATCTGCTATATCCATGTCCACATCACCAAACACCTTTGGTGTGTGACACCAGCTCAAGTCCTGGAACTCCAGACTTGAGCTGCTCAATCATATGCAGCATTCCTCAGAACTTCACCCTCAGACCCCTAACCAGGGTACTCTTACTGGCATCACCTAAATCCTCTGTTGTTTACAGAGGTTACTGCAGCTGTTGCTCAGTAGAAACCACAGTCTGCAACTAAGTTCTCCATTACACTTCAACTTTGGTCTTAGCATAACAGAGTCATTCTCCCACAAGTGACTCCACAGGCACCTGACTGGTGGGGTATGGTGCAGGGTCAAACCCATACATGAGCAAATATGGCATCTGGTTGTGGGACAAATGTATGCACAGGTTAACCTCACTATGAACACTATGACACTGTTTAGTGCTGGCCAGCACTGGACACCTATCCCAGGTCTTGCTGATGCTTAGGGGAGGGGAAGGCTGCCAGAGGAGCCCAAGCTGGTCCTTCCAGGACAACCACATCAAGTAGTTGGTAAGGTTGCATGTTGCTTATCCAACTGATCATGCATTCAGTCTGTGATGTAGAATGTTGATGAGTTGGCCTTCAAACACTAGACAACTGCAAAAGCTGTAACACTACCACATGAATATCTTGCAGAGTGGTTTAAGGCCCTTAGGTCAAGTGCACCTGATGATGGAAGCTTGAAACTGCATTCATTGAGATGTGGCAAGCAGTGAGCATGACCCCAACAAATACAAATGTACACTTTATATGACCTATACTTAAGCTGGCCATGGGTACTTACATGTAGGGGTATCCACCACTAGTTCAGACACAATTCTGTATTTGCATGCCATATTTTTACATCACATCAATGTATATGAGTAAACACAAGTGTTCCAAACTGCAACCATTCAAATCAGTGAAGAAATGGAAGGGATACATATACATTTGTGTGTGACAACCACCAAAATCATACCAATGCTAGGCATGTTGCAGTGGAGATTGAATATTGAGCATGCCTTACAAATTGATGATAAGCAGTAGTCCCATACCCAGACACGCTACTCTTAATGTTGTGACTATACTCAGACTTTATTGGCCTTCTGGCTCCATCAACAGCTTGTTTGCTGAAAACATCTCAGAATAATATTGTCATAAATAGTGAAAATATGCACTTACACATGCGATGCTCAATGGTGATTTTGATAATAGCTTCACATAAACCATCCATATTACCATTATGGTCCTGAAAAGCTGCCTTGACAGCTTTTGAAATGGCAGTCTGTATATTGGAACTGTTGTATTGCTCCACAGCCAATGACAAAACCTCCTGCCAAAGATGGTGCCCATGCTGCATTAAAAAGTAAGAATGCTCAGCAACAAGCAAGCATCCTAGAACAGTGAGTATATGTTGAGTAGGCAATGGGAAACACTTACCAATGGCATGTTCAGCCATCAACTGGAGAGTTGGGAACTTCCCAAACAAAGTGGCATCATTGTGCAGAGCTGGCATTTGGATGGCTGTGTTGACTTCAAATTTTGCCTGTTATGTTAAATGTTCACCTTAGGCAAGGAGAGGTAGCAAGTCAATGCTTACAAGCTAAGAATTGTAATGACACATATGTGACAAATATGGTCACAACATAGGTGGATGAGAAATGAAGCCAGTTATGACTGCTGTAATGCTGCGCACCTCCTACCAAAGAAGAGATCACACCAAGGGCACCACCACACAATGATGATTAGTCTATGTACCCAAATAACCAGGCAATCACTCACATTCTGCCATATGACATATTGAAGGGAATGCATAAAATTCAGCAAACACCAGGGGCAACATGGCAAGACCACTTACCAGCTACAAGTTAAGCAGAATCCAAAGGTTGAAAGTAAAGGGAATCAAGAAATATCCAACATTGGACTAAATTCACACACATTCTGCCATACCATCAACATGAACAGTACAGGGAATGCCACTGAGCAGATATCCAACTGAACATGCCATGAAACCACTCACTGACTGTCATACCACCAACATCAAGAGTGCAAGTGAGGCCATTGAGCAGACATCCAGCCAAACATGAACATGCCATCAAATCACTCACATCCTGTCATGCCACCAACATCAAGAGTGCAAGTGAGGCCATTGATCAGACATCCAGCCAAACATGCCATCAAACCACTCACTGGCTGTCATGCCACCAACATCAAGGGTGCAAGAAATGCCACTGAGCAAACATCCAACTGAACATGCCATCAAATCACTCACCAGCTGTCATGCCACAAACATCAACAGTGCAAATGAGGCCATTGGGCAGACATCCAGCTAAACATGCTATTATATCACTCACCACCTGGCATGCCATTACCATCAAGAGTGCAAGTGAGACCATTGATCAGACATCTAGCCAAACATGCTATCATATCACTCACTGGCTGTCATGCCACCAACATCAAAGGTGCAAATGAAGCCATTGATCAGACATCCAGCTAAACATACCATCAAACCACTCACCCCCTGTCATGCCACCAACATCAAGATTGCAAGTGATGCCACTAATCAGACATCATCTAAACATGCCATCAAATCACTCACATCCTGTCATGCCACCAACATCAAGAGTGCAAGTGAGGCCATTGAGCAGACATCCAGCTAAACATGCCATAAAATCACTCACATCCTGTCATGCCACCAACATCAAGAGTGCAAGGGGGGCCATTGAACAGACATCCAGCTAAATGTGCCATGAAATTACTCACCACCTAGCATACCACCAACATCAAGAGTGCAAGTGAGACCATTGAGCAGACATCCAGCTAAATGTGCCATGAAATCACTCACCCACTGTCATGCCACCAGCATCAAAAGTGCAAGTGAGACCATTAAGCAGACATCCAGCTGAACATGCCATCAAATCACTCACATTCTGTCATACCACCAACATCAAGAGTACAAGGGAGGCCATTGAGCAGACATCCAGCCAAATATGAACATGCCATCAAATCACTCACCCACTGTCATGCCACCAACATCAAGAGTGCAAGTGAGGCCAATGAGCAGACACCCAGCCAAACACACCATCAAATCACTCACCCCCTGTCATGCCACCAACATCAAGAGTACAAGTGATGCAATTGATCAGACATCCAGCTAAACCTGCCATTAAATCACTCACCCCCTGTCATGCCACCAATATCCAAAGTGCAAGTGAGGCCATTAAGCAGAAATCCAGCTAAACATGCCATCAAATCACTCACCCCCTGTCATGCCACCAACATCAAGGGTGCAAGTGAGGTCATTGGGCAGACATCTAGCTAAATATGCAATCAAATCACTCACCAGCTGTCATGCCAACAACATCAAGAGTGCAAGTGAGATCATTGAGCAGACATCCAGCTAAAAATGCCATCAAATCACTCACTGGCTGTCATGCCACCAACATCAAGAGTGCAAGTGAGGCCATTGATCAGACCTCCAGCTAAACATGCCATCAAATCACTTACATCCTGTCATGTCACCAACATGAAAAGTGCAAGTGTGGTCATTGAGTAAAAATCCAGCTAAATGTGCCATGCAATCACTCACCCTCTGTTATGCCACCAACATCAAGAGTGTAATTGAAGCCATTGAGCAGACATCCAACTAATGCCATGGAATTGCTCACCACCTGTCACACCACCAACATCAAGAGTGCAAGGGAAGCCACTGAGCAGACATCCAGCCATACATGCCATCAAATCACTCACCACCTGCCATGCCACCAACATCAAGAGTGCAAGTAAGGCCATTGGGCAGACATCCAGCTAGACATGCCATGAAATCACTCACCCCCTGTCATGCCATCAACATCAAGAGTGCAAGTGATGCCATTGATCAGACATCCAGCCAAACATGCCATGAAATCACTCACCAGCTGTCATGCCACCAACATCAAGAGTGCAAGGGAGGGCACTGAGCAAACATCCAGCCAAACATGCCATTGAATCACTCACTGGCTGTCATGCCACCAACATCAAGAGTGCAAGTGAGACCATTGAGCAGATATCCAGCTAGAAATGCCATCAAATCACTTACATGCTGTCATGCCACCAACATCAAGAGTGCAAGTAAGGCCATTGATCAGACATCCAGCTAAACATGCCATCAAGTCACTCACCCCCTGTCATGCCACCAACATCAAGAGTGCAAGTGAGACCATTGAGCAGACATCCAGCCATACATGCCATCAAATCACTCACCACCTGCCATGCCACCAACATCAAGAGTGCAAGTAAGGCCATTGGGCAGACATCCAGCTAGACATGCCATGAAATCACTCACCCCCTGTCATGCCACCAACATCAAGAGTGCAAGTGAGGTCATTGAGCATACATCCAGCTGAACATGCCATCACATTACTCACCCCCTGTTATACCACCAATATCAAGAGTGCAAGTGAGACCATTGAGCAGACATCTAGCTAAACATGCCATGACATTACTCACCCCCTTTTATACCATCAACATCCAGAGTGCACATGAGGCCATTGAGCAGACACCAGCTTACAATGCCATCCAATCACTCACATACTGTCATGCCACCAACATCAAGAGCATGGTCAGCAAATCCAGCATGCCATTAATTAATTACTCACACTCTGCCAATACATGCAAGGGACCACAAAATCATAGCATTATTGACTCCATATGCTGGAAGAATTTGGCCACTTACCTCACAATTTGGAAACCACTGCAACAGATCACATTCACACTTTTTCACATCCACCTGCAATCTTCCCACAACACTTAATTCCAATGTCCTTCTCAGTGACCTCCAGAAGATCAGTATCTGCACCAAAACACACTTGCTTACTTACTTGTGCACAGCATATTGAACACACAGTGCAATACTTGACTGCTGTGTTGATATAAGTAACCTTTGTAAACCTTCCTCATTCAACACATTTGCTGTGCAATCCATCAAAGCACTACAGTCTGCACTCTCTTGATGCATCTCTGCCACCAGGATTTTCTAGTAGCACTATCTCTGAGTGATGAATTACCCACTCTGAAGTGACACATATCCTTTAGGTGGGAACTTGCACTTGCCCAGCTCATGTTTTACATGGTCAAGCCACTTTTCCAACAGTTCTCCCTGCTTTTCTGCTGCCCTTTCCTTTGCCTCAGCTATGGCCAAACCCTGATCCAGAAGCCCCTCAAGTGCAGGGAGGTACAAAGCATCCACTTTAGTCAATAGCACTATCACAGGAACTATGCAGAAGTTCAATCACATGCAATCCTATCTGTGGAAGTCTTTTCCTTACCATGTCCTGTGTCACACTCATTGAAGAATTTCTGCTCAGCTGCAGTTACTGTCCTGTGGTAGTCTGTCATGGGGATGCAAAACCTACATTCATTTGTTCACTTAGCCTGTAGTTACTCACAATGTATTCCTTACCAGATGGCATGGATTCGTTCATTCACCCTCATTGTGGCTCTATGGTCAACCACAAAGTTCCTCATCTGGTCAAACTGCCGGTTGGTACCTGCTTCAAACCCACATGAGTCATGGAACACAAAGCCCAGGTTACTCTGAAACACGAGCTCATGCTCAATATTATGGTAGCCACGCTGAGAGCACTCAGCATCAATATCAATTTCCACAGGTCATTATGGCATCTTACTGCCAAAGTGCCTTGCACGACAGTACCATCAATCTGAAAATTTTTAGATAGATATTACAGGATTCTACCGACCCCATAGGACTATACCTTGTTTCCTTTTCCATCGAAGACCTCTGGTTTATCTGTAGAATGGCATACTCTTTGGAGGATGGTGGTTTTTCCGGCATTCGATCTGCCCATGACCAGAATTCGAAAGCGCTCGATTTTTTTCATGTATTCTTGAGCCATCTCAGAATTGAGACAGTAAGCAGGTCCGGAAGACGTAGTTGCTGTGATTCAGTGTTAAACAGATTTAATTTCATCAAGAGCGAAAATAATACCTTGGGGAGTAGCTTCAGTCTGAGGGGGAACTGGGGTCGCCACATCACCAACAAGATTGCTAGCTTCTGTGTCCCCATATCAAGTATGTCATGTTTCATAGGCTAGAACAATATCATACCTGCAGCCGTAGCTTCAGTTGCAGCAGGAGCTAAGTCACTTGGATCACTTCGGCGGGCACGATGAGAATCACTGCCGAGTGCCTTGAACCACTTTTTGATACGACCAGGAGCCATGTAAATGTAAGATACGATTTCACAGCGCAGAGCTTAAGGCGTGCGGAGGATCGGCGTGAAGCCTGTCGTCGGGGTATCGACTCGCAGCAAGTCGATCGATATCAAGGCGCCTATCTCCTTGCATGTGCTTATGTAATTAGTTGAGGCTTAACGACGTGGACCTCTACGATCACTTCAATTCCCTCTCAAGGCAAATACAAGAATCTCTGAGCATGCCTACTATGCCCCAACATCCAACATCCAAAAGACTCTAAGAAAAATGGATGTCCAAACTGCGAAGAGATCATGCAAGCGTATATTTGTTGCTTCTTTCTGTTCACGAGACCTCAAACATCTTATTTCTTTGCCTCACTCTGTGAAACAGATGAAGGGATCTGTGGGCAGCATATCCGTTTACACCACTATCTACTTTGATGGAATTACCTCCGCCATTGATGCTGAGTCGAGTTGGGTCGCACGATGGCGGAGAATGGGTGAGTCTTGTTTGCCTTTTCGTTTGCTCCCTAGCGTTGTTGACGGTTTTTTCTTCTTCTTTGACGTCAAAAGCAAAATTTATGCTGTCAAAGTCGGAGGTCGGGTTCCGGAAGATGTAGAAGCAGAGCCCGAGATTCGTGGTTTCAAATATTGACCAAGCAACCAGACAGATCAGGACCAGTTCACAGCTATACACACTCCTCGTTCTTCCTCAACCTCGTCTTCCCCCTGCCCATTACGGAGCCAGAAATGGGGAAGAAGCGGTTTCGATTGCTCGAGGGTCGTCGGATTCTGGGCCAAACACACCAAATCGTTCATCACACGCCGGGCCGCCATTACTACCCCTTATACGCCCTCAACGCCAGCTGACGCTTTCAACGCAAAGCCAGCCAGTTTCTATGAGTCCGCAGTGTCACAGATCCCTACACATGGTGAGTGATGGGCATTGACACTACTTGAATGATGCGGAGTTTACATAGTAAAAGAAAGCATGAGCATCTTCATCGTGTTGCCCTGGGCAGGTTATTTGAACACCATCGAAGTGCACGGCAAAGATGGCCATATGCATGTCAGTTTCATTCCAGTTATGGGTGGACGTTGATTAGCGCGAGTAGTCAGCAAACGAAAAGGTTGTTTGGAGGGTCGGAAAACCGAGCGTGTACACAGTGTGGGTTTCAATACCCAATATCAGCCCGATATCGACTTAATGTGGTTGTGGTACTTTTATACTTTGCAGCCCAACTTCAAGATTTTACTAATTGATCACTTTCTGAGCGCGTACATGTGAAGTAAGGCTCATGTGAACTACAACGCCTCCCTCTCGGGTGCTTGTGGAGTATGGAGTATGCCCAATTTACTTTCTTCCTCATGGAGCGTTAGTCACAGAGGTCACCGAGTGAATGCAGTGTTCTAACATCTAACCGTTAGTAAATACAAGCCAGCCGGGGGTGAAAACGCGCAAAGCGGTGTGCCTCGGGAGAATCGAGAAGCCGCAACAGTCCGCGCGAAGATGAAGCAGAACGAACGAAACGAGAAGACAACGAGAAGGGAGGACGCGGTCCAGTCAGAATGTGGACAGCTTGTGCACCACGTCTACTTGGCCGTGTTCTTGAGCTTGGGCGGGATACCTGTGCAGCACATTGAAGTCAGTCTTCTTGCAAGGGAACGAGAAGCAGGAACAAGAAAAGAGAGCAAGGAGGTGTGCTCACCGATCTTGTTCGTACCGAACAAGACCAAGATGTAGGAAGCCATGAGCATCGGATTAAGCTGCGTCGACGCAGGATAATTGAGGTGCCTGGCAATCGACTGGGTGAAGTCGTCGCCCTCGCGCAGCGCGAAGGCGAAGGAGGGAGGTAGAAAACAGCTGGCGCCAAAGTCGAGGGCCACGATCATGCCCTTGAGGTCCTTCATGAAGTTGGTTCGGTTCATATCACAGGGGCAGAGGCGCAGGCCGTGAGCCTTGACCTCAGGCCCGAAACTGACACACTCGCCCCTGCCTTCGTGAGCGAGAATCTGTGTCAAGGGTCATCATCCGGAAACCGGCGAAGGTGCAAGAGGGACAGGGCGAGACGAAGGGAAACACTTGCACCGTTCACATGTTCTTCCAGCAACTGGACGGAGTCGTAAGTCACGGGGGACTCCCAGTCGACGAAGAAGCGGTGCGCGATCGGGCCTCCGCCGACGGGTCCGGGTGCAGCGGTCGGCCCCTGGATGGCGATGAGGGATTGCACGGCGGCGGCCACCAGCTCGGCATCGGAGTCGTCGCACCTCGACCCGTCGATGTATTCCATCACGATGTAGCCGTAGCTGCCCGACCGGAAGGCGAGGTAGACACTGGGGACCCGCACGGCGGCATTAGCCTTGCCGTTAATGGCTTGCGCGACGAAGCCCTGCGTCGGGGCTTCACCCATGATGATAGACCAGCCATACTTGACCCAGAAGTAGGCGGTGGCGCCGCAGGACTTGTAGGCGAGAGCGACGCCACGGAGGTAGCTGGAATTGGAGTTGGTGGCACTGAACCGGGCGCGAGCGGCGTCGCGGCACTACTGGACGATCGCCTCGGGGCGCGGTAGGTTGGCAGGCTTGTTGTTGGCGTCGATGGCGAGCTTGATCGGCGATATGGTGGTCATTGAGGAGGCAGAGGGTTGTGTCAGTCACAGCTAAAGGGGGGTTCCTGGGGCTGCGTGGAGGCGAGCTTGGGCTAAGAAAGGGCAAAGTTGTGTGCGGGGGGTGTGCATTCGGAGAATTCCGAACACCAACCTTTCTGAGTCCATACATGCAAAGTGCCCTGGTTTATCTTCGTCCTCGTGGAGCGTTAGTTGCAGAGGTTACCAAGTAAACACAGTATTTTAGCTTCCAACAGTTAGTGAATGCGAGCCACGGTTCTCTGGCTGGCAGACCCTCCGTTGTAGTACAGCCAACGGTGATCTTCCAGTTTAGCTAGTGCTCCTCTTCTATGACTTATTTTCATATTAAGTCCCCCAATGACGATGGCATGTAAATGACAATGAGTGGATTCAGGGGCTATTTGTTTTGTTTTTGTTGTCCAAATAGAACAAAACACGTCTTCGTTACTGCAGTTTGCGAAAATGATGACAATCACTGTTTGTCGAGGTAGGTTATGTAATGCCATGCTTCTCTGATGCTGACTGGAGTCCAGCCAGCCTTGGTGGCTGCAGTTCTGGAAGACAGCAGCTCACAGGCTGTGTAGTACAGACAGATACCATGTCACTTGTCCCTTCTCCAGTCATCATCCAGCCAGATGGTCTGTTGATACAGTTATAGTATAGGATTGTTCAAATTTGTCTGTAGGCATAATACAGAATCCCTATGCAAATCCCCCCTGGGTACCCTCCCTTCTGCAATTCTCACATATAGCACACTCAGTTGTAAGAGTCACTATATCCTGAAGCAGCCAGACACAGTGAGATTATATCAAAGACAGATCACAAAGTGAGGCATACCCTTACAGGTGCAAGCTGGGAAAGCTGTCAACCAGGATCATGTATCATTAGCATTGGATTAGTCTGGTGAAGATGTGCAGACTACATACATGGTTGGCCCATCCACAAGTGTAGTACCTCATGATTGAGGGTAGGGACTAACTTGACATCCAGAGCTTGAGCATTCATATACTGACATGTTCTTTGTCTGTAGGCCTCATGGCAGTTGTCCTCAAATGTGCAGCCAAAGAGCCTTTGAAAGGAACATGCTTCAAGCTTCAAGATGGCTCTTGCATTCTCTAATCATGAGTCCAAACTCCAACTTGCATGGGAGGGGAGAACAATATATCTATAATCTAACTTAAGTAAAATGTTCATAGCTAACTAATAGAAGATAGCAACACCCATCACTGGTGGCAGACACCTTGTTTATGGACAGTCATAAATAAGTTTCTTGACTAAGTACTTACAGTAAAATAGGTACTTACAAGTCATGCATTGCACCAAACATGTGCATGATCTCATATCACATGATAATTGATACCCAGAACCACCTTGCCACTAGTGCTGCCCTGACTCAACCACCCAACATGAACAAGAGCGCCAGGACATGCAACTGCAGCTGTGCTATTGTTTGGGATGTTGGGCACATAGCTGCGCTGCTGACTTATCCTTCAAACATGTGCTTGACCATGAACATGACTGGATGTCCCTTGACCAAGAATGCGAGTGTGACTGACCACAGCCACAAGACCACATGGGAGTATGTGTGCCCAGCTGAGAACCACAAACTTTGCAGATGGGTCTGGAATGTCAGAGGAGATGTGAGCAAGGTGAGGACATGAGTCTTAGATAAGAGTCAACTGTGTCATACCAAAAAGGGACCCACCAAGACAACAGTTGGCTGGCTGACATTGACAGGTCCAACATGGTAATTTAGCATGGGTGGACTTGACTCGCTGAGGGCAGCTGTGGCAGGTGGGGAAGTGTGAGTGCAATGATAATGAGGTAGTTGTGGAACATGCACATCCCAGATGCACCTGCAACTGACGAGGCAATGAGATATCAGACAGTTCAGGGGAAAAAATCAACAAAGCAGCAGATGGAAAGTTACCTATTCAATATTGTTGTCACCACCAAATGTCCATTTGTGTGTGGCAGGGTATATTCAGAGGCCTGTGAATGCATGAGCAGGACCCACAATGGTGGGTATCCACATATGCACACCACAATACTCAGAGGCTTGTGAGAGCATGAGCAGGGCCCACAACAGTGGGTATCCACACACATGCACCACATGGGACCAGGTGAGTCTGAGAACGTTAAGAAGAAGTTACAATGCAGCACATGCAAGCAGGGGATTATGTAAGTTGCACTCAGAGAAGTCATCATGTGACTGACTTTGGATTCATGACTCAGTGGTACTACAGTCATTATGTGTTGTGTGGAATTACATTACATTCACTAGTCATGAAATCATCTTGGGTGGGTTGGCAGGCAAAGGACAGAAGTTCAGATTTGGTGTATCCTGGTCATTGCAGTACTTATGCCTGATTGTCAGTGAGGGCATGCATGAAATATAGAGTTGACTAACTCATCATCCAGTTCCTTGTCTTCCTCATCTTCATTTGCCTCTGCCATTTCCTTGTCCTCATGAGTCACCTCCAGTATAGTTCTTCGCAATGGTGAGCATGATGCATGAGAAAGTAGGGGGTCACATTGTATGCTGGTCTGTACTAATATGCATTTTGAACATCCAGTTGTTTGTGTGACACCTGGAGTAGCCCATGGAAGCTACCTTAGTACCTGGAGTAGCCTGAGGGAGCTACCCTAGTACCCGGAGTTGCCCAAGGGAGCTACCCTAGTACCCAGAGTCACCTGAGGGAGCTACCCTAGTACCTGGAGTTGCCTGAGGGAGCTACCCTAGTACCCAGAGTCGCCTGAGGGAGCTACCAATTGGTTGTGTGAAAATGCTGCCTATGTCAGATTGTCTCATGTGCTCAGCTCTGCTGTATTTCTCAGATTCATATACATCTGCATAATATGTAAGTACTTATTACAAAGAAGGTCATGCAGGTGTACATCGGGTAGAATAGCTAACCAACTCAGGAAGGGCCACTTACAGTGGATTAAACTTTGCTTGGATTTTTTTTTTTTGGAAAATATACATATGGTTAAATTGCCCATAACATGTTGTGGGGGACCACCATGATACAACATGAAAAAAGTCTCATGGTGTGACCCCTGTGAGTACTCCAGCCAAATGTGTGTCACAACTATCACTATATCACATTCACTACTACCAGTACTACTAGATAGTTATGAAGTTATCCAGTTAAATATGTACCAAGAGAGGCCTTCTTTACAAGAAGTAATGTTTCCTGTCACACGTGAGCTCTGAGATCTGAATATCCAAAGTTGTCTGGATAACTTGAATGATGCACTCTCCAAAGTCGAGCTGCTCACAGAGTACTCTCCTCCATGGGTGCCCTCTTGGCCTGTCTAGCCTATCTTGTCATAACTCAAATAAAGAACAAGAGTTCCCACTTCAAAATTCCCTATAAATGTTATTGATCATACAAATTGTGGACTGATACCACTCCCAACTCTGTACAAATGTATTTAGTCTGAACAGAGTGGCAAAGAAGAAGCCACTTGCAAAAAATGCGAGGTATGCCTAGTGTTCTAACTATCCATTCTGTAGAAATCTGTGTGCACTCATCTGACTCAGATGTGTCAATTCAACTGGGTCATCCAAAGAATTCCACCTATACTGGGATGGATTGACAACTGAGACACAAGAGAAGTATTGCCTCGAGGCAGAGTGCCTCCAGAAGGATGGAATGTGGATGAAATCATCTGACCTGAGTGTCTGAAATTGAAATCATTGCACCCCACAGGATTCCTTGGATGGGTAAAGATGTTTCCAGACCAGGACAGCTCCACATCCTGGAATACAGGTTTGCTTATAGCAACAAGTCTGTGTACCATGAGACATATGTCATGCTTAAAAGTTTGTGGTGCCTGTGTTATATACTCCATCTTCAAGGAACTCTGACAGTGCATTCATCATGTGGTTGAGCACAGTAGTGGTAGTGGAAAGGAGTCCCAGCAAACCCCTAGTGGCAGTGTATACCTGCGATACTTAAGACCAGATTTGAGAGTAACTTTGGGCAGGACTCACAATTTTGACCCAAAGACTATTCAATGAACCTCCTTGTATGGTAGTATGACCTATGCAAAGGGCCAAAACCAGCAGAATGACACTGAAAAGTAAATGTAAGCATGATGTAATGTTTCTGGCGAGGTTTGTAGAATGCTAGCACACAAGGTTCAGAAACCAACATGTCTGCTGACATATAGCATGGGCACATTACCATAAAGCAAGGGCAGCAGGTACACTGAAGTCTCTCATACCAAGAACCATAACCTGGGAACTCTTAGTGGGAAGCACAAGTATGGGCATAGGATTGCAGTGTACCAGCTCACCAAATAGTAATATAGGTAGCATCCCCCTTCTGTGATGATCACAGGGCCATGATACTTTCATTGCTGTCAAATGACTAGGATTATATCAATCATAAGCAATTTCATGGTAATCAGATATCAACACAATGTACTGCAACAGCTTGAATAATGTCACCTGCAGCAGTTTCAGACAATGATGCCCAAGTGAAGATGGTGCTGACCTTTCTGATTGAGAACCTGTGTCACACCCTTTTTACCAACCTCCCAAACATGCACTTTGCCCAAACTGGTCCCACTAATGATAGCACCTCCCCAAAGTAAGAATGAAACAGTGACAGGATATACCCCATTGGGCTCCTCTAGGGATGGTTCACACCAACCAACATGGTGTGAGTCTCCGAGGTGATAAATGTAACACCTGCATGCATTGTTTGAACAGCAAGGAGCTTGCATTTCCAATCAAGTGCTGAGCTTTCTCTGGAATGTTGAATATGACATGCCCCAAAAAGTGAGGCATCAAACTGGATACCTTACATTTGAGGTGACTGCAAGATTGGTTCAATGCACCAAAGCTGAGTGTGAGTACACAAATCCCATGCACTGAGATATAGGTGAATTCATCAGCATCCACTGCAAAATTCACTTTCTCATATTACACCATGGTTAAGGTATGCAGCAATGATCTTGTTGCCATTGTCATAAAAGTGCAGTGACTGCAGCCAGAGTCTATCATCATCTTCTGCACAAAGAACATCTTCAGAAGGAGATAGTCGTATGCTACCCATTAAATTGCCTATGATACTTCATTCAGATGATAGTCATTAGTGCCAGTGAAGTGCATGCACCTGTGGGTGTTTCTGCTGACACCAGTATTAATTTGCCCATACCTACAGCCAAGTGTCGCAAATGAGAGTCATAATCTATGCAATGCACTTGGCCTCGGACACCAAACAAGATAGATCTCTGAGAGAGAGCTGTCTGTTTGTGAGACATGTGTGAGGAGAATATACACAGATCAGGCCTAACACCTACTGCACTGAAGTTCTTGAGCTGCAATACTGCTCCATTTTCACACCCACAGAACAGGATAGCAGGGGCATTAGGATGCCACACAAGTGCAGTGACAGGACTTTCGAATGCTAGTGCATATAAGAGCATGCTGTCTGACACTCTCCATATTATGAGTAGCTTGTCCTCCCTGCCACTGGCCAAATATGACCCACATGATGAGAATGCCAGCACATTGATGGTATCACTGTGACTGTTCAGTAAGTCAAAGGTAAGTCGAAATGGTGACATGTTCAAATTGATCTTCTGGTAAGGAGTAGTGTTGACAGGTTTCAGGTTGTGTGGTCGCTCCCCATTTCCTATGCTTAACAGCATTTCTCTGAAGATTGACTGACTAGTATTATGACAATTGGTACAAGAACAAAGTAGGACAGTCAAATAATCTATTGTGCTCATCACTTCCCACTGCCTGACTATGGAATTCTCAGTTGCTTACCATACTGGAGTGCATACCAAAGTGGGCAATCTTGTTCCTCTCTTATACCTTGAAAACCCTTTCCAGTAATCAAAAAAATGCCTGCCACTGCTATAAGTAAAACAAGAACTTGTGCTAGGTGACTGCTTAGGAATCTGGGGAGCCTGCTTTCCCCAGCCTCAGTAGTGACAGCAGAGGTAAGAAGGATGGGGTAGGGGATATGCCAGACAAAGAATGGAGATAAGGGTCCAGCAATATGACAGAGTGCCTTTACCAGGGATGATGCACTAATTCCAGGACAGATCCTAAAGGACCAGGAAACAGTGGTAATAGCCCTGATACTCAACTCATGAGTGTGATACTAGTGAAAACACCTTGTCAGATCAAACAAATCAGTTCATAAGGAACTTACAGAGAGTACATGAGAAACTCTGAAAACAGTAGCAGCTAAACCATGCCAGTATGTATGGAGCTGTGGTGGTGCAATGTGGGTACCAAATGGGATTAAATCAATTGCATCACAGTACTTACCCAATATCCAGTCTTGCTCCAGTTATTCTTATCCACACCTGCCTGATGGTTGGGGACAAGACAATCTGGGACAAGCATCAGCTCTTCTTCTAGGGTGGTGTGGGTCTGAACATCCAGTGCATGACATGAGCCCTTCAAACAATCCAAGTCACTCCTAAGAGCATCAATGGTAGCCTTGATCTTGCATAAGGAATCCATCATGAAGTCTGCATCATGAACATGGTCCATAAGGTTGGTCATGCCCTGGGACAGGTTGTCTATGCCAGCTAATGCCTGTAGGAATAATGCTGTGTGTGTATTTTGCACACCCTTGATGACTTCCATGCTGTTCTCCAAGGCCTTGAAGTGCATAACTACTGAAGTTTGTGACAGCAGCAACTGCCCCAATGGCTCTGAAATCCATTGGTAGAAGCTAGCTGAAGAAATGACTAAGAGGTGAATTCATATGGAGGTGCAATGGCTAGTGGTTACATACATCCCTCCTGTAGCTTCCACTCGAAGTCATTTTTGCTTGATACCAGATTTCTTTCAAGTTCTTTAAGGGTTATTTCAATGTCTTTCAAGCTTTGCTCTTGTGAATTTATTTTATCCTGAGAGATATTTATATCAGCATTACTGCTACAAGATGTTCACACTAACCGACTGCTCAGATCCCTTCCTTTTCAGCCACCACACTTTTCTGTCCAGAATGTCCAAATCATGTCATAATTCTGCAACTTCTTGTTGCTTATTGTCTAGCTGGCCATCATGATTTTCCAGCCAGGTCATCAAGTCCTGAATATGGCAGTGGATTTGTTGTACCTTGTCAATCATGGTAGTGGCATACTATAGCATTCATGAGTATCCAAATACAAAGGGAAAGGTGAAAATGAACCTCACCATATCTCTGCTTCTTCTGTTTGGCCTGCTCAGTTTCTTTGTGGTGGGTAGTGACATAGATACCATCCCCATGCTCCCAGCCACCCAAATTAGTGTGGTCTTTGTCCAGACTTTGTTGGGTAGGGGATGCAGTCACCACTGTGTTGGGGGACTGAGGTGTCTGGATAAACATCTGGGCTAGCATCTTGTTGCTGTTACATCTGTGAGTCAGAACTACTGCCATCATCTAATAATCAGAAAGCTTACCTTGATCCAATGCACAGAATCATTTTTGGGATCTGTGATGCTCCAAATAGTGTATCAGGATTTGTTGGGCCTTGAATTAGCTCATGCACATCTGCAAGGGAGTCCATAGAATGATCATCATTCAGTCTTGCAATGTCCATCAGTAGATTTGGGTATTGTTCAGAGATGAGGTGAACAAGTGCAGGAACCTCACTAAATTGTATACAGAGTTCACCAGTACCATCCTTGGCAGTTAGATGACTAGAATGGATGTAGTCCTCAATGCATTGCAGGACTTCATGGAATGCTTCAGGCTGTTCCATGTATGCTGATCAAACAGAGGGACAATTGTCTTTGTATTCATGCACTTACTAAGTTTAGCATTACAGCAATTGTCACATGTCCATGTGTCAGAAGGCATCCATTGAGTGTGGGCCTGGCCAATGAAAGAAATTTATAGAAGACTCTGTTTCGTTAAGTAGACATCAAACTACATCAGAATGAGCACAAGCAGATTGCATCTTCTACCTCCATCACTGCTTGGCCCATAGACAGTCAGCATTCTGTGAAATGCAGTTAGGACATTTGATATTGTGTAGATAATCATGGTGTTAATATGACATCCATGATTGTGCTATAGCCAGTTCCCCCACACGAGTAATAACTGTGGCAGGTTATGGCTGTCTATTTAATCCTCTTCCTATAGTTTTTCGGAAGAGGGTGTAGAGGACAATCTCATGTGGCTAGAGGATCGTGAAGAGCAAAGTGGTGGCTGTGCTAGAACACCACACAGGAATGGAGTGCCTGTCCTGTACTCCCCCTGGTCTCACCCCCAGTGGTACCAGTTGCTTTTGAATTTAGATATGTGCATAGCTGAGAGGCCGAGCCTGCCATGCCAACTGAGTAGTACAGAAGTAACAAAACCACCAATGATTGCCTCCAGCACATATGATCTCACCAATGGTATGCCAATTTTGGCTGGGCAGCACCCCTTTGTTAACTGTTCATGGGTGAATGTGCAACGTTTCGGTCCTGGGACAGCTTCGAACACCATCACCAAGTGAATACCCATGCCTCTGCTATACTCTCAGTATCAACAACTGGAAGGCAAGCACAAGGATAAAATAACTTCGCTTGCATTCAGCACAAATGGCTCGTACTTGGCTGTCGCAAGTCTCGATGGAAAGCTGTCCATGTGGTTGACTACTACAGGAAAAAAGCTGTATGCTGTGGAGAGTGGTCCCAGCGACATCGCTATGCTCTCCATAGTGTGGATGACACCTTCTGAGAATCAGCTACTTTGTGGACTAGCTAATGGCATGGTCATTTCTGTTCATGCTGACAATGAGGTGCATCAATGTTCATATCTACATTCCAGCAAGTTCTGACAACTATCCAATACCAAACCAACCACAGCAAGTTACAGTAACAGGCTTTAGGGCACACAGTCACTTACCAATTGAATGTCTTGTTGTGCAAGGTGACTTGGTTGTAACTGGTGCACTGTCTGAAGTTTCTTTGTGGAATCATAGAGGTGCAAGTAAGTCCTCTCCTTTTGCACTTGTGAAACTACAGTGCAAATATAACTCGCTAGCACATTGGGTTCACCTTGGCCACATTCATCCCCCTCCATCCATTTCAGCAAATTGTGAGGCAGATGTCATTGTTACATCCTTAGCTTGGGCCCATACTATGTATTCTGCGAAGACACTCCTGATTGCATATCTTCATCATGGAATTCTGTATGTTCACTGTTCACTCAGAGAGGTGCCTGTACTCACTGTTGCATGCAGCCTCTGGGATGCAACAAAGTCAAAGATGGCACATTTCCTCTATATCAAAACCCTTGTGTCTGTGCCATCTGGTTTTTCCACTTGGGAGCACATTTACTGACAATCAACACAAGTGGGTCCATGAGCATATCATGGAATGGAAATGTTATTGTCATCTCCAATCTCAACAATGGCTTTGACATTTATCATTTAGGTGACAGCACCTTGGATGGTTTCATCATGCAGCCTTGCAATGGATTATGGGTCCCTGTGACTTTCATCCATAATGGTTATGCTCTTCTGGGAGGAAGTACTTCTGAGCAGGCACATATATGGGACACAAAGGACAGAACACTCCTGAATACTCTTCAGCATGATGGTATTTATTGTTCTTTACTACTGCAAGTGATGTGGGCTCAACAGATTCAAATCTGAAGCAGGAGATACTATCCTCACTATTGCAGTTGAGTTTTGCAGTCTGTGTCAGGGGCCAGAAACTAACTCAACTACCTAGGCTCACTTCAACCACAAAGATGATCAGTTCCTCATAGGCACTGGAGTGTACTCTCTGGAGTGACAGAATCCACACATTCAATTGTGGCATGTGGTTGAAGTGCTTGATGTTGGTAAGAGTTCATTACATCATATCTGGAAGGGTGGTTCCTCATTTTTGTCTGGCAGGTGATCAGGACAATGTTGTTGGCCCACCACCAGGGAATGAAGGCAAAAATGTGGGTTTAACCAGTTCTTATAGCCATGACTTCCAAACAAGTATTCTAGGCAAAAAACTTGCTTGTGTTTTTGACTGCTGTGGCTGGCTTCACTGCTGCATATACCTTGGGCTCCATCTTTGGCCTGCCCACACACAAGCATGTTCAACTTAGGTGATTGTGGCAGTCTGTCTATCATACATTGGTAGCAGGCACTACCAACTGTATTACACAGTTACAGTAGTAAAGACTAAAATGACAGGTACAGTAATCCAAGCTGATATGGTACACTAGGTGGGACTGGCAAGTTCAAATGTCACAGCCGAAGCAGTGATGGAGGAGTGAGTTGAGACTAGATCCCATGTCTCCTACACTGGCAATGCTGTCAATAGCAATTTCCACTGTACCAAACCAGGGATGGCCAGGCTGAAGGGCATGCCCACAGATAAAGGGATCCCTTGATCATGACTCAGTCAACATTGTCCCCATTGAAGAAGTCAACAGCCACCCTCATCTGTGAGCTTGAGAGGGGGAGGGCAGTTCATTCAGCCATAACATACATGTGGTGAGCATGAAGCCAGTTGAAGTACTGGCAAGAGATGTTCATGTGACCCATTCAGAATGCAGATAAGGTGGTCACAAGGCAGATCTAGACTCAAGACAACATGATGGTCTCTGCAGATTGGGCTGACATGATCTTCCAGACACAGGTGGGTGAAGGTGTTAAAGGTAACAGTATATTACAAGAATGGGATTATGTAAAGAAACCACACAAGGCTTTGAGAAACATGAGATGGTAAACATGACAAGGAAAGATGGGAAGGTCCACACAGATCGCTGACAACTGAGGTAAGCTCTGCCCAGCTGGGCAAATGCAGGAACAGTGCCAGAGATGAGCAAGTGCATGTAAACGAGCCCAGGAATGTTGGGGCAACAGCTAGCAGTGTCATGCAAGATTGTGGGCCAGACTGCATATGATCTGCTTGTCAAACACATCATATTCTTTTGTCAATCTATACAAAATCACATGAGAGAAGTGTGGTAAGAAGACACTGAAAACACACTTTGTGAGACTCTCAGGAATATTGAGTTCTATGACATCTTGAATATCAAGGTCACTGAAGGAGTGTGGATCTAAGGAGTCCAGAAACTCCCAAGCATAGAAATTGTGGGCCAAGCCTTCAACTGGAGCTCATTCACTGGGCTTTGCTGAGATAAGACATAAGTGGGGCTAAGCGCCAGCTGAAGCCCTCTACTGTCACTGATACCTGGCTCGAAGGTGAAGTGCATCAAGGGCACACAGCTACACAGTCACCTGGTTTGCTCGCCACATCTTCTTTGTTATCATATAAGTGGTTTCACCCCATCTGGCCTCATGATCTGACTTGTCAGAGCTCATACCAGCTACCCCCAATTCTTGTACTACATGAGAGGCAGTAGGGTAGGCTCTAGCATGAGTATTTGCTGCCCTCAGATGTCTCATGTACAACTACGAGCATGTTAAGTATAGGGGCAATTAATTTGACTATTTGGTCACACCTGAGACTTCCGCTCCTGGTGCCTACATGTACATTGTTGCTGGTCCAGTATGCCCACATCATCTACATTGTTTCCGGTTGCATGGCCAGCTACAATTCTTCCAATGCAGGCCTGCTCTGTGCATGTAACTTGCTGTTGAGTCGCATATATCTGGCAAAGGTAGTTGAAGTGCACAACCCAAGCAGTGCATATTTGTTTCAAGGTGCATCCACAGCTGGGGTATGCATTACAGAAGCTGTCAGTAAACACATGAGATGCAGATTTGTTCCATGTGGCGCTAGGTACATCATTCAAATCGACACAGAAGGCATCTGGAGTGCATGCAGGGCCTTGTGCTGATTGGTATGCAGTAGCTTCTTCTTTTGTAGGAACATTGGTGAAGAGAGATTTGGTGTTTTCTCTACCCATAAGCAACTGGGCATGTTCACGGATGAGTCTCTTAGGAAAATATTAGATGTGCCAAAGGTAAAGCAGGGATGAACTTACCTGAAATTCCAAATCTGCTGATTTGCAATGAGAAGGGAGAGTCTTCTTTTTGCATTGCTTGGATGGTGACTGACTTTCATCAACATCAGGGCTGGGGTATGCAGCTGTCAGGAAGCATAGCTTCAATGCATCACTAACAGCAGTTCTTGCTGCATTTGCAACATCTGATTGAAGGTTCTCAGTGATAAGCAGCAGATCTCGACAGGTTATTGGAGCAGCTGAGTCATAGCTTTCCCTTTCCTATGCTTTAGACTCCTTCTGAGGGCTCTCTTGCATGGGCAGCACCACAGGCACATGTGCCCTAGGAGGACACCACATCTGGAGTGGCTGGGGGAAAGGTGGGAAGGACTCAACCATAAGTAGTGTCAGCCAAGTGCTAACTGACCTAAGATATGGGACCACTTACACAAATAGGATGTGTATGCAGTGTCACAGTGGTGTCCCCAACATTCATGTCCTACCACATGTATCAGTAAAATGGTCTCAAGGCATTGTAGTATGGCACACCTCATCTATGCATTGATACAGTTCTTTGGCAGCTGATACAAACCCTTCCTCATTGGAGTTATCACTGTCCATCATGGGCATATCATCAAATGCTTGCAGCTTTCCATGGTTCCTGTTGTAAGCCATGCAAGTGTGCTGACAGCTTGGGCATGCCTGGTGACCCTTTATATATCCCACTGGACTGCTCCTCCTGATTGCCTTTGTGAATGCAGCCTTTCAATAGGGTGAGCACTGGTTGCCTTTTCTCTTTTCTCTCATCCTCTCACCATTGTACCTTTCTCCAGTCCACTTCTACTGCCCATGGTGTTCTTCAAACACCCTAGTTTTGATGAGAGGGCATGCCACTCATCTCGGTTCCTGAAGAAAGCAGTGCCTCTATCAACTGGCCAGGTCATGGTTAGTGAACATTGAATTTAAGATGTTGTATCTTACCATTTAGCACAACCATATGGCTCATTCAGATGTCTAGTGAGAGTAAGTTTGGATGTTAAGTCCCATGTTGAATGACACCTGATTCCATATTCAGCATATCATGCTCATGGCAATGCACATAATATTCCCAGTCCTCCTTCTACCATGCCTCCAAAATGGATGATGCTTTCCATCTGTGCTCTGGCACTTGGCCTCCTGTTGTACCTTTGCCCTTGTATATCATTCACTGGTGCAGCACTGGGTCCATTCAAACTCCCTTACAATGAGCACACTGTCCAGTTGGCAAAATTGGAAGAGATTTCATCATCATTGCAGCCAATTCCATCTCCAACATCTTCCGAAATCCAACCCACTACTTCTCTGACTGTACTTGAAGACTTCACATCATGCTCAAATGGTGCTGCTGTTATTGGTGACCTCACATCTCCCATGTCCACTTCCCTGCTGTCTGGGGTGCTTAAGCGCAAGCACTCAGTGTGGTCTGCCCTCAATGATGGGAATGCTTGCTGGATTTTTCATGGCCAATCTGGCCAACTTGCAATAGCCTTCACTGAAATCACAAACATCAGTCATGTTACAGTAGCCCATACTCCCTGTAAGTTACTGTCCTGATGTAGGTTGTTGGTGACTCAATGTGTCCTAGTGGAACTGACTGATTCTGTTGACATGGCTCCCTGGAAAATGATTTTGTGGGGAATGGTTGAAGGGAAGGAAAATTTAGAGAAGTACAATGCTTTGCATCAGAACACCACTGGGATTCTCCTGGAACTCTTTCAATCTGTGCTGGTGATTACACACAACATCGCATTCATTCTTTTAACATCCTTTGACTATAACGTTCATACAACTCAACACATCCAGTCATTTGCCATTCTTCCCGCAGTTGCAAATGCAGGTATGGATTTTGGTGTTGTGGTATTTGAGATATTGGAAAATTGGGGTTTGTCTACTTGCTTCCATCATGTGGGGGTACATGGATGCCACACTAGACATGTCAGCTGAGCATCTGAATCACTGATTTCCCATATCCCTTGCCAACATCTTGTAACATAAAAACCAATGGGCTTATACTTAGGTGATGGACACAGTATCTTCATATCCACACACCCCTGTACATTTCTGGGATAGCGACCATGAGTGGTTTGTGATGCTGTCTTCCTTTGTGTGCATTTTTCTTTGTGTTGCACTTTCTTATCTGCTTCTGCTTCATCTGCATTTGGTGTGACCACCACATCGATGCATACAGTCATCATCATGGTCTCATGTGTGGTCATAGCACTGCTACAATCATATATTATGTAATATTCCTAGATGCAGTCTAAGTCCAGGTTTGGGGAAGCTCAGAGGTAATGACAGACCAGAACTCTGGTCATGTGACAGAAACCCAGAAGGGCTGGTAGAAAAAAGAGAGGTGGACAATGTTGTTTTCATATAAATATGAAGATCAGAAGGCTTGGTGGAAGTATGTAGCACTAGTGCTAGCCTATGTGAGGACTCAAACATATCATGATATTGCTGGCTAGATTTTCATCCATGCTCACTGCTACTCAGTGCATGGATCACAAGATGCCTGAAATGAAGAGTTCTGTTTCAGACAATTGGATTCTATTTCAAGCTACAAGCATGTTACTCATCATAGTTGCGAGAGCTGACAGCCATGCAACCATCCATTATGGAACCAAAGCTCCTCCAGTACTACACTGAGATAAGCTTGAGGTGACTTGTGATGCTCTGGATTGCAGGCAGCATCATGACATTGCTAACTCCATCCAGGAGTTAACTCCTGCAGGTGCTGTCATTGCTTTTCCCTGCCTGGACAAAAACCTCTTGGTGAAGTTGGAAGCAGCCTTTATCCTTCACAAGATGTAGATCTGTAAGTGTCCAGGTGACTAAAATTCAGGGTAAAAAGGTTGGTGTTTACTTGTGATGGTTCTCAAACTGGCCAGGATCTATTGCAGCCAAGATTCAAGTGTTCTCTTACCTGAGCTGCTTTAGTTTTGGTATAGGTAGGCCATGGGACATGACCTATATAATGACAGGTCCCACATTTTGGCCAGTTAACTGGTGGTCCAGTATGAACATTGCAGCATGCCCCCCAAACTTCCCCCACCCTGGGTGTCCATTAGCTCACAATCAGTGTTGCCTGCCCCTTTGCAAATTCCCTCACTGCCCTTGCCTCCTAGACAAGATACCATCCACAGCAGGTGTGTTTCGCACAAGGGAAATTGACTGGTGACCATAGCCAGAAACCACTTTGGAATTGTGTCAACTGCTATGTCCATGTATACAGATGCAATACCTTGCAGACTGGTTTGACTTTGTTTCTCATTCCTGCAACCAGGTTCCCAAAGGAAATGAGTTTAACTAGTCACTTTCCTTGTATGTGATTTTAGATATGGGAGACTATGTTACAAAGTCTTCTAGATTTGACATCTGGCCTTCTTGTGGATGAGGTATGGTCTTGGGAAGCTGTCAATCATGGTGACTCAGCTCTTGTGAATGTGGAGAGTTTGAGTGGAATTTGTAGGATGCGCTCACTGTGACATCCATTGGATCTAACATTCCCTCAGTCGACTGGCATGATGATGCCCATGACATTGCAAACTTTCTTTTAAACTACCTCCCTGAAGGGGCCACCCCTGCATCACTGCTTACTTGCCCTGCATGTTGTCACACACCAAAGGTCAGCAGTCATCCCTCACACAAGAACAAGTCATCAGTACCAAAGAAAAAGAAAGGGAGTGAGTTAAGCACTGGTTAAAATTCTTAAGTGCCTGTGTACAGCATTCTGGTTTTCAACATATCTCTGCTGTTTCTGCAAATACTGAGACCATTCCCACACTTGCTTGTAGTGCTCAGCCACATGATCTTACCTTCCAAAATTGGAAAGGATTTGCACACTCCACATGTTTCTACAGCACTCCCACCAAAAGACACTCCTTTCACTAAATTCTTCTGATATGACCACCTCCACATCAGTCATTTTGCTTGTCCCCTTTGCTAGGGACCATGGCTACATATATCTGCCAGGAATTCCTACCAGCTTCTGTCCTGAAGCATCTTGGTACATCCCACCCTTGTCTGTGCCCTCTCAGCCCATCCAGCTTGGGCAGCATGTTCTTTTTGTCAGTATGACCTCTAGGAGGATGTTCTTTGGTCACCTCAGGTCTGTCATTCACTTGGAAGTGTCTTATGTGGTCATTTCAGTCTCTCCAGTCCAAGAAGCATATGGATCCTTCCTCCCTACTCTGTGCAATGTCTTCATACCAGTCTCATCCATCATTCTTCCAAGATTGCAACAGCTACAGTATAATCTACTGTTCTCCACTATCCCTGATCACATCCATGACAAGTATGATGCACATCTTGCCTCCTTGTTGCAAGATATGGCAGAAGACACTCCCCCTTCATCCTCTCTTCCAACAGAGCCTCATTCATGAAGTTTTTGTTTGCTTCACTGAGAGGATGGTTTGGGGGGGAAAGTTGTGATCCCCTATGCTCCTGTCACCCCACAGACCCCCAAAGCTTGATCCCTGTTGACATCTGACTCACCCTGTCCACTTTTGGATGTACTATATTGGCATCAGATTGGTGCTGCCTCTCTGTCATCCCACCTTGGCCTAGAAGTGATCTCTTTGAGATGTGACATGCACAGCCTCCCCCTAATGCGATTCCAGTGTGCTTTCCCAGTTCCTGACATTACCTGACTCATACTTCAATGTTCTGACTGTCTCTGACTCACCTATTGCCAATACTTACCAATCTTTTGACTTTGCTTACTGATTCTTTGCCTTTTGGCTTGCTAATCCTTACCAATGCTTTCCAAGACAATTACCCATCACTTACATTCCTTACTCATCAGTTACCAATCACTTACCAAGTGTTGGCACCTTGTTTTCCAAGGGCAACACCCCTGTACTGTATATAAATCACTGTACTTAGATAGCAAAAAAGGAGAAAAGAAGATGTCAGAGAGCCCCTCTTGCTTGCATTTTATCATCACTCAGTAATTCATTCAGCAGCTTTGATAGTTGAGACTTTATTAAGGGTCTAACTATTGTCTACTTTGCTCATCCTTGTCTATCATCAATATACTTTGCTCCAGGCCCTCCCTGAGCTCAGTGCAGCTTAGAACATCAAATTAAGTTGCCATCCATCCTTCTGTAGGCTGACAGCAGTCTACCCTATTACTTTCTATCACATTCTTGCTCCCTCTTTGTCAGGAGCACCCCCAACCCTCAGCACTCATCCTTGAGTGTTGTAGCTTGCAAAAACCCACCCAGGTCAAAGGTTCTACCATCTAGGTACTGCATAGGCACACCACCACTTGCTCTTTTTGTCTTTTGTGTTGGTTTTGGTTGGTTTTCACCACTGAACCACACTTTGACTCACAGCATGTTCCAGAAGCCACAAGTGACATATGCAAAGAACTTGGCTATCACTGTTGGAGGCTTGTAGTAGTTGGTCACTCATTTGGTGGCACTTCCCTGTAGGTATTTGTGCTGCTAAGTTTGATCATTGCTCATTTCTTCTTGTGCAGAACCTTGGCAGCTTTGAATTTCCTGAAGGTTTTTTTGTCCCTCATACTAGTGGACCTCATCATTTTAGCTGAAAAGACTAGGAATGTTGAGGAAGCTGTCAGGTTCGCTGTTAACACTTTCACCAGGCAAATGTTTTGGTCATCTCAGTGAGTGCTGGTTTTGATATAGTTGCTTTTACTAATTGACACCAGTGAAGATGCCCTACATCAGTTCAAACAATCACCATTCTTCGCATCCTGGCACCTAGAAGTCCTGAAGACATATGTTGATCATGGGTTGACCATAGACTCCAACTTGTGCAATCAGAGGTGTGCAAATGCTGCCTCTTTGGGCCTCCTGGGTGGGCACAGCTGCTGCACAGCATGTAGGTTTCTCAATGTAAGTCTGGTTATCTGGTGATCAATGTGACCAATCCCTGATCATCAATCACTTCTCATGGCCAGCAGATAATCAATAGACTCTGTTGGGTTATACTATGGACTTTGACCATGCCAACCTAACCTTGACAGAGGGTACACACACTACTGTATGGCTGGAGGAAGATAGCAATTCCACATGTATGCAGCACATGTTCATGTCCCACACTCACTGGCACCTGTCAGGCAATGTTATACAGTACTCACTGGACTCTGACAAAGGTCTATTTGGAATTTGCTGAATGCATACCATGGTGACTCACCTTTCATCTCAACTTCACTCACTGTGGAAATGGCCTCAGGTGAACAATGGCTATTTCATCACAGTTCACCTGTTCAAAGAGACATGGTTACTCATGTTGTGATCTCAGATCCTCATGGTTACAGTCAGGCTGGGCCTGCAGCAGATCCTGCAGTGCTGTTGATCTTGTGGTGCTTTGTGCCACCACCAAACCAGTCAGTTCTTTCCATTCTTGTTTTGTCCTTGCTGATCAATTGATGTTTCATTCAATTGCATTCCAGGGGGGCAGAAGCTCAGACACCACCAGATCTGACTCAGGGTACTGCTAGGTTTGTTTTTTTTTTTCACATTTCTACATTGATTCCTATGCTCTTGTCTGTATAGCAACAGCACCAGTGATTCTGGTAATCAGGATCTGTCAGAAGGGTCAAGCAGTGCAAGTAGCACTCAAGTTCAGTCAGTGGGGTTGGCAGTGAGCATTCAAGATGATGAGTTAATCACCATCTGAAACCATTGCCTAGATTCCTTGAAGAAATCACAAGTACCATGACTTGCCTGCTGCCTACTACTAGTTTAAGTCACAGGGAGAAGCTCCAATTAATCACCCTTCAATTGTGGAGGATGCTGAGGAAGGAGATATTTTCTTCTACTGGATCACAGGTGCTGAGAAGTGGCAGATGTGGATATGGAAATGTGTTGAATGTAGTTACAGCTGGCATCCAGTCCAGGAGGGAGAGCAGATTAAGGGACCTGATGGCTCTCCCAGGTATTTAGTAGTGAACAGCAGTAACCAACCATCCATAGTGCAGGCAGGGGCATGGGAGAAGCACTATAGGCACAAGGTAGTATCTTGGTTGTCCACTTAGTTGATGATTCTCTACTGATACAGATCTGGAATACTACTGCATGTATTGAGCATGAGAAATTCACAGTGGTGGTGAAGTAGGATTTAGTGGAACAGGGAAATCCTGGGCATAGTTAAAAAAAAACTCAGACGTCCCTGGAACCAATTCTGCAGATTTTTGCTCAAACTCTGCATGGAAGTTGCCCATTCCCCTAGGTCCCCAGAATGTCTGGGTACAAGACCACTAGAATGGCCGTTGTTAAGGTGCATGAGACTGGAAGATAACTCTGCAACTGGGAATCACTACAAATTAGATGTATGGTTATTCTGAGAAATTTGCTGCTGGCTGCTGACTAAGCGGAGGGTGTGCATGGGTGCGAAGGAGGTCAGGCATGCACATGCTCCTCACCCATTCATTGGTACTCTTCTCAATGCCATTACTAGCCACTGCACATAACCCGTGTAATTGTGTATGAAAAGTAGTTGAGTGGTATGTTATACATTGGAGGGAGTTGGGGACTGGTGCTTGCACTGCTACAGATTGGAATATTGTGGGAAACTGCTTAGCCACCACTTGCAATATTTGCTACCCATCATCCTCACCAATGTCCTCAAACACTGTCTCCAGCAATGGTAACAATGACTGCAGAGAGGCATTCATTCTTCCATGTAACCATGCACTGATCCGCTTGCAAAGATTTTCCAGGCCACAGTTGTCCACCCCAGATGTCAAATAAGTGTCAGTTGGTGCCCCAACTGCAGATTGTAGCACACAGATTGTGTTGACAAGGCTATGTAATCCAGAGAAAGGTGCAATGAAGGTGTTTTCCAGTGAAGGAAGGTAGATTTCAATGTCTTGCCCTTGTCACTGTGCTTGAGCTGCATCTTGTGTGTTGTCATACAGGCACTGCAAAACTGAGCGAGGTGGGTATTTCCCAAGGCCCGAGATGAAGACTCCATTCAACTGTCTGAACAGATATGACCACATCGTTGATATTACCATGACATGAACCTCAGGAGTGAGTGAAATTTCAAGTTGCTTGATATCGTGCAGGGATGGCATATCCACTAGAGTTATATAGATGGGGGACAGGAAGTCATGATGGGTGGACAAGCAGTCAATTTGCACATGACAGAAGTCATCCCTAGTGACGCTTGTGAGCATGATACACAACCTCCCATGCTGGTATGGGGTTGTGAGGATGTCATATGGTCCAGAGGGTGCCACATTTTTTATTCCTGTCATGAATTCAGGGAATTCTGTGGGATAGCTTTCAAGGATGTTTCCAACATCAAGCTCAACAAGAGCAGGTGTCTGGACTGCATTCAAAAATCTGGAACATGAGGTCATGCTCCCAGACTTGAACTGCAAGGTATGAAGCTCTGCCAGTGTAATGTTATCACTGTTTACTTCCTCTGCTCCTGGCATGAAGGCATTACAGAGCCTCAGTTCCCTCAAAGACAAGAGCAATGCAAGTATAGCCAAGAATTTGGACAGTGGCACAGGGGATGTCACTGTCTCCAGTGTTCAGAATATCGATTACCAACAGATTATGGGAGAGGTCCAGTGTTGATTCCAAGACATCCCAGTGCAGAAAACAATTGTCAAGCACCAGATGCTGGAGGAGTGGCCCTGCAATCATCAGTGGCTGTAGAGGTAATTCACTGCCATCCAATGTGTCATCCAGATCGCTGCTACAGAGCGACAGGGACTGGAGCAAGGGTATACCCTGATAACCTGGGGTGATATGGCAAAAGAATTCGTAACTATAGGGATATGGTGCCTTGAGATGGAATTCCTTGATTCACCAGAAGTGATTGGCAATGGTTGGTAGATTCATGAGTATCAATGCCCCTGTATCATGCATGACATCTTCGCTCCTGATGTGAACCCTGAGAGGGAGGGTTGACATGTGTCCCAGTATTTCCTGGAGCCATCTATGTCCAACTGTGATGTTCAATGCTTCATGCCAGACCAAGGGTGCCTGCAAAAGAATGGCTTGCTAGTGCTGACAAACATGGCTTGCAGCCCTTAGCATACTATCGCCTGACTGGACTGCAACTTTGAAGAATATGCGGACCATAATGTCCTCTGGCATGGATCCAATTGTGGTGCATCTGTGATGGACTGGGGCAAGAACAAATGGTTGAGTGTCCATGGCTGCATTCTGTGTCAGAGACCCATTGCAGCATTGTGACACCCAACTAACATGTTAATGATAGGACTTGTGAATGATGGGAATGAAGCTTTAAGTCTTACAAAGGCAAGGGGTAGTAGGACATTGGACAAAGGCATGAGCCCTCCCCTCCCTGTGGACTGTACCTACCTTCACTGTAGTAGTTAGTCTTACCCACTACATTTTTCATCCCAAGTTTTGTTACAGACCTGTAATCTGCAACAAGGTTAGGCAGCTTGGAATTTACTCAGGCCCAATTATGCACCAGAGGATAGGGCTGCCAGGGATGGCAGGCACCTTGTTTATGGATGTGACATAGATCCCAAATTGAGAACATCCTCACCGTGACCATAATTTACATGCCAGATTTTGATGTCTAAAGATCATAAACCCTTCATTGCTCCAAGGACCCTCACATGTCTTATGGTTTGATCTTTGTTCACAAGGGCAACAGCCATTGGCTTTGAGCTTGGACGAGCTAAAGCTACAATTGTACATAATTACATGCCAACAATCCATTGCCACCATGATTTGAATCAGACTTTGTACTGGTGAAGTTCTTGGGATGATCATGGATGTTGAGAAATGAGCAACAAATTCTGAGGTGCAGTGACATTGTAAACAAGGTGATTCTGCACTGGTAAACAAGCTGGGTGGTTCGAACCTCATGTGAACAGATATGAATGCCAATTGATCTATTCCTGGACACTATCTAGTCCAGGTCTGCAAACTCTTTGTGGTTGATATCATATTGGCCTGGATGGTCAGTGTGGTCACCTGATGCATAGCATTGGGGGATATGGGGGACATTCAAATGTTGGGTTCACACCATCACAGGTTCATAATCTATGGTACTTCATGTGGTAGAGCTGCTCTACCCAGCACATGCAACCAGCTGGGTGTCATCAACACATTTGTGGTGTGTGTGGAAATCATGGACATTACATAACTCGAGAAGTGCTGCCTGTGTTGGTGCTAACCTTGCTTGCTATTGCCATGCTTGTATCTTACTTGGTCAGGAGATTATGGGCTTCCACAGGTTCTAGTACTGTAGACTTTTCTGTCAAGTTCTTGCAGTTGTCTGTTGGATGCCTAACAAGTTGTCTGTCAAGTACACACTATTAATAGATGATATTTATCAATAGTCATCCTTAATCTTGTTGCAGTGGTGTATCCTCCAGCTCTGTCTCAGTTGAGGAATAATGTGCACAAATAAGCTACTTGGTGAGCCCCAAATGTCATGTTGATGTTTGCAGTGTTGTAGAACCATGGTATGGTTACAGTGGAAATGTGTACATAGCAGTGGGCTTGAGGGAGGAACCACTGAATCTTGCATAGATATGATGCATGGTAAGGTATTATTAAGTGTTCGAGGGGTATCACACAGGATATAGCACAATGAAGGGAATGATGCATTGGTTACCTGAGTAATATATCACTGGGGTTGCCTATGTGACTCTGACCGACACATCATGGCCTGCTTATGACCTGCCCCCCTTCTTTTTCTTGTTGACTACCTTGAAACCCCACTCCTGCTGGACAGTCTTTGGTTGGGTCTTCACAATGTCTGTGATTGAAATAGGCTTTCCACTGTTACCACCTATGCTGGCAGCATTCCGCCTGGCCACAGCATCAGCCTTGTGCTTGTTTACATACTCTGAAGCAAACCTGTGACCATCAAGAATCATGCCATTGGCATAGATAAGGTCAGAGATAATCTCAATTGTTGATGGGTCCAGGTTGAGCAGGAATGAGAAAAGCATCGAAGTGATCTCTTCCACTGCAAGTGGGTTCAGAGATGAGTTAGCTAGAATTGTGCTGACAACATCACTCACAATTGACAGAGCTATTTAAGCCCTTCAATGAATCACTCAGCCATTTCAAGAAGTCATTTGACAGTGTAACAGGAGAGTCCTCCACACATGGTGTTGCAGCAGGTTTAGTAGGTGCCAGTGTAGCTGCTGATGTTCCCAGTCACATAGTGGCACCATGTTGTCAAGGTACTGTAGCCAGAGATCCTACAGCAACTGTTGAGCCAGGCATAGTCACCATGGGTTGTGGGGGAGCAGCCACAGGCATGGCTGGTTTACCATTTTCCCCAATAGTTGTCCATGCACTGCTGCAAGTATTCTGTGCACTAGGCACAGTCTAGTGTAGTACTGTATCAGCAACAGAGAAACTGACAAGACAAATTAACACCAACCTTGAAGGTAGTCTCAGCATAAGGCCAGCAGGCAGCAGCAGATGCCATGCTCTCTCTCACTACTACCTTCTTCATCCTCTCCTCTTCCTCTTGGATCTCCTTCATCAACTTCTTTATGGTAGCAGTTGGTGCAGCAGTCATCCAAACAGGCACACTCGGGGTAACAGGCATTGGGGGCTCCTTCGGTGCTGTGGTATTTCTTCCTCCTGCTTGGGATGTCAGCAATCCCCAGGATGCAGTAAATGGCTGGGTGTCTTCGGAACTGGAAGCAACAAGAGAAGTTGCAATGTTACTGCAGGTGCATTCCCACTCCTTCTCAGAAGCCTTATGTGCCTCTTCCATCTTCGCCTCTGCCTCCTGAATCTCGCACAAACTCACTGTCACAGTAGGTTTCACCTTCCTCTCCTCATCCACAGTGGACCACACATATTTGTGATGCAGGTGGAGAGATTATATGAACAGGAGATGGACCCTTGACAATGCTGGCTGGTGTACCCTTTGGCACAGCAACCAATGCATGAGTGTCATGTGCTGTTGACTTACAGCTAGGTTTGCTTGTCACCTGGGGCTCACTACTGGGGGGGACTGGTTGAGATGCTGGTATTGGAACTGTGGATGCTACTGGAAGCTCATCTGCCAGTGTCTGCAGGACAGGAGGAGTAGGGACTCCTCCATCAATAGGAGAACCAGCAATGAAAACATCCTCTGCACCTTGCCCATCAGGGATCTGTTTCCATCTGTTATTGGTACCCCCCAAAGATGCTGTCAGCCAAGGAGATGGATCCTTCAGTTGAGGTATGGGCTGAGGAGGCTGAATCGGTCGAGCCCAGTTAAATCCTTGCTGAACTTGAGCCAACATCACAGCCAGTGATGAGGTAGCAGAGGTGTCAACTGTTCTTGTACGGCAGACAGGAGATGGGTCAGGCCAGGGTGATGTACCACTATTAGCTTGTACAGCAGAGGTCGGGGGGTGAGATACATGAGGGGATACTGAGGGGTGCATCAATGCCTCACCAAAGGGTGACACAGCCTGATGTTGCACAGAGGGTGAAAATGAGGCAGACAGCTGGGAGTACTGAGACTGAGCCAGAGAATTGTACTGCAATTCACTGAGACCATTAATCATGCCATTACTAAATGCTATTCCATTGGCCTCAATAACCTGTTTTGCAAATGGAGGATGTTGGTGATTCACCTGTGCTTACCCTTCTTCTGCCCATCATTGGGCCAGAACCAAAGGTACCCATTCCATTGCACAGGGAAGAAAGTGCTTCACGAGGGGAGGCCAATGAACTGTGTGTTGGACAGTAACAACTTTCAAGGCATCAATGCAGGTTGATCTTGATCAACAAACAAATGTGTGTCAGACTAACAAGAGAGCAAAAACCAGCTAGAGTTCACCTGCACTTACCCTTCTTCTGCCCATCATTGGGCCAAAGCAGTTGCACACCAGACCACCCCTGCCACCTACATGGTTCACTCTGGGTCTATTGGATGTTGAAGACAAAGTGTTTACTAAATCACTTGGTTGATGCCAACAAATTTCAGAATTTAGTGGCCCCACAAACAGCTACATGTTCATGTGAGTGAAAAGTGCATGATATAATTTACAGGTTCTCATCTGACCTTCTTCTCAGCCTCATCCATTTTGTGCAGACTCGCAGGTTCGCCACCAGCTTCACATACTATCCCCTCCCATCACTCTACTTCGAGTCCCAGACCACCCTTCCCTCCACCCTCTTTGTAAATCCTGAGTATCTCTTCCTTAGTGTATCTGAACGGATGGGATTCATTGTGTTCCTCCTGCTCCTGTACTGCTGAGGTGACAAGAGAAGAATAAGTTGATACAGTAGATTGGTGTGTAGCTGGTATGAAGTATTCTCAGTATTGGACCCTTGGGCCCTCAATGTTCACATGGCAGTCTGGAAATGGAAATAATTTCTGTGGTGAGTTGGCTCCCATGCAATTATGACCCCAGTAGAAACCTTGCAAGCAAGGTATGTTGTGTTACACATAACTTCTGCTCAATTGCTCTCACCTGGTCTGATGTGGTGTGCATGTGTGGATACCCACCGTTGTGGGCCCTGCTCATGCTCTCACAATCCTCTGAATATACTGTTTTTACTCTATGCTGTGTATGTGCATGGATACCCACCATTGTGGGCCCTGCTCATGCCTTCACAGGCCTCTGAATATCCTCTGTGACATGCAAATGGACATTTGGTGGTAACAATGATATTGAATAGGTAACATTTCGTCTGTTGTCTTGTTGATTTCCCCCCCTAAATGTCTGATATCTCATCATCTCGTCCCTTGCAAGTGCATCTGAGATGTGCACATTCCACAACTACCTCATTATCATCACATCGCTCTTCCTGTCTGCCACAGCTGCCCTCAGTGAGTTGAGTCCAGCCATGCTGAATTACCATGTCATAGTGTCATAGCTGTCAATGTCAGCCAGCCAACTATTGTCTTGGCAGGTCCCTTTTTGGTATGACACAGCTGATGCTTATCCAAGTCCTTGTGTCATCATCTCACTTGCATCTCTGACATTCAGGACCCATCCACAAGTTCGTCAATATCATCACGGGTCCTTCCTCTCCTGTTTCTATCAATGTACTATCCCAGAATCAAGCTGCTGAACAGTTGGCTTCCATATTTGATAACTACAATACCATCATCCACCTGCTGACATTGTCTAATGCCAGCTGCCAATTTGCTGTGTGATGCCACCACTTATCATCGATCTACCTCATCCTCTAATGGTCCCTCACCTGCTTCATCCAGAATGTCATCCCTCAAACAATTGCTCAGTCCCATGACAGAGGAAATGGGCAATAAATGCATGCAAGTCATTAATGTCAAGCAAGGTGGCATTTCATCTTCTAGATGACACACCAGGTGGACACACTGCCTGCTCCCCCTTGAGTGGCATTTCGTATACATGGGGTATGCTGTTCTTTGTGATTCTGTTGTATTGACTGTCTTTTTGATATAGTTGCATTTGCTGGAATCGTGATAGGCCTTCGCCCACTGTCTCATCATCCTGATTGATACCACATTCTGAACATGCTTTCCTCCCAACAGCACTGTTTTTCACTGCAAATCTATCCACTCCACACTGTTCTACATCTACACAGCAAAGAAGTTCCCTGGGATAGAAGGTCCATCTCTCATTTGTAGGCATTACCATGGACCCATCAGGCATGTTTTTGATACTTGCATATCTCTGTTCCACCCTGTCCCTATTTTAGAGTCCATGCTACTGTGGTGCTCCCTGGCTGACCAAGGTATCAAAGTACACATCTGCAAGGGCATCTGCATTTGCAAGAGACCAATTGCTTCCCTTGCTGCACCCATCAACAATGATAAAATCAAGGACAACCAAGACAGTGAACACAGGAAAGCCATTGTTCCTGCCAACAGCCCTGGTAAACATCTCTGTCACAGCCTGATCATAATGTGATGACATTCAATACCAGTGTACATTCTGGCAACCTCACAATACCACCAAGCACAAATTTAGGCACCCTCAGCAGTCTTCCCCCTTGGCCTACTACCATCCCTGACTCAATGTTTGGTGTCATGAGTGTTCCATGGGGGTATTGAACTCACCTCTCCAGCACATTCTGGAACACCGCCATCAGCATCCTCTATTTCTCCTCCACTTGGCATAATGTATAAGCTCTCCAGAGTACCTCTAGCAAGTATTCCCCCACCTCTCAGCATGCACATGATGGCTCCACAAGCAATAGCTTATGATGGATCAGGGATGTGCCAACTGGTGTGATTGTGTGAGTGTGAGTGAGTTTATTGGTAGATGAGCGAGTGGGGGCAGCAGTGCGAGGGCAGTGGGGGCGAGAGGGAGTGCAAGGTGGGTGGGCAAGCACCATTCCAACTCTATTTTTACATAGCAATGCATAGGTCTGAATGCAATCACCAGATCACATTTTATGGACTTGTTTAACATAGATCTTCATAGGACAATGAAGCACAATAAGAGACAAGTGCATTTTCTTTGCTCAGTGATTCAGTAGTACACACGGGGCTCATGGGTGGTATCTGTCCATATATACCAGTTCAGTGTGCATGTGGGGAATGTACATTTGAAGCAATATAGTATGTACACTTCAAATAGTCCTTCCAAGGTGAATGAGGTGCACCATGACCCCATTGCAATCACTTCAAACCACCTGGAACTGAGTTCAGTTCACACAGCAACACTAATAGCACCAACACACAAAACCAACCTACATAAGTATGAGAAGCAAGCATTTTATAAGTACATTGCTTGCAGTGTAAATTTTGCATTCTCCACTCAGATGCCTCACACTGTCAAGTCTGGGCTTACTCTGACCAACTCCAACACTAGACAAGGGCTGGGGAGAGGTTTGGAAGCAAGTCTGAAAGAAAGAACTGAACTCTGACTGGCAGAGTGTTGGCAGAAACAAAGTCTGCTGAGACAAAGGCAGAGTGGAGTGAGGGTGTTGGGTTTAGCTCATGCACTACCCCCTTGCATGATCTCAGCCCTTGTATTTCAGAGGGAGAGAAATAGATGGAAAGTTGGAGATAACTCCAACAGGCAGAGGATGGAGACAGAGGGAGCAGGAACTCAGTTGATATTTGTACTAAGGAATGGCAGAGTATGATACATGCTTTTATACTACTATGGAGGTACAGTAACTGGAATTGGAACTGACCTACTGAGACCCAGAAATTTTCAAGTAAAACTTCCTAGACAATGAATGAAGGGTAGATGGAGAACATATGAATGGGTAACATAGAACATCCAGGAAAGGAAATGGTCCAGGTGCTGGACCATGTGGTGCATGTGCTGCAGAGTACCTGACTGTGTGCTGTCAGGGAGGAGTCCAAAGGTAGTCACATGACCCCTCAGAGAACAGTCTGTTCAGTCCAATAGGAGAGCAACACAAGTCTGACAGCTGTCAGAGCAGAGATGGTTCATAACTGACAGAAGTTGGGCAGAGTTGGTGTGGAGTGAGTGAATGACTGGTGGAAGAGGGTGCAGAGTGAGTAAGGACTTAGAGTGAATGCATGGTTATGACAGTGCCCCCCCCCCTTAGGGCCTGAACCCCTGAAGGCTGCATGTACAGGACAAGATCAACATGAGTTGATCATTCAAAATTATTTTGATGCCTCAAGGATAACAGCTTTAGCCATGGTGGAGCTCCATCAGAGTTTGGAGTACTGTTTAAAAAACACATGTCAGGATACTGAACCTTCATCCTTTCCTCCCATCATCATGCCTTCCCAGCACCAGAGCAAAACCCCCCAACCAACCCCTGGTCATGTCTGTGACTTGGGAATAGTCATGGATGAAGAGCTGGTCATCCTGACTGATGACTCCACCAACACTGAGTGAGAGAAGTCTGCAGAGAAGGTGTGCTGATGAGAGGAGGCCAAGTGGAGGGAGAAAGAGTGCAAGGCCAAGCATGAGGAGGCCAAGAGGCAGAAGGCAGAGGAGGAAAGACTGGAGGCAGAGTGGAGGAGGAAGAGGAGGCTTGAAGGAAGAAGGTGGCAGAGGAGGAGGCAGAAAGACAGAGGCAAAGGGCCCAGGCTCTGCAGGATGAGGCTGCACAGAGGTGAGTAGCAGACTACTGCAAATCAGGTGGAGCTGACTTACACTTTTTTTTTTGACCTTATTTTATTTCAGGTTAAGTGGGGCAGTGTACAATGTTAACACTGCCCAGAAGGTCCTTGGGCCCTCAGTGGTGGTTACTGTGACCAGGAGAGCCCCCTGCACTTGCTGTATAGCAAGTCTGATGGTGGGGCAGTGCAAGCTGGGGCAAGGTAAGACCAGGGCCTGTGTGCCCTGCCACAACAAGAAGAAGATGTGCAGCTGGATGCAGGAAGAGGCAGCAGTGGGGCCTTCACAGAAGAGAGCAGGGACAGGGAGAAGAAGAAGAGGATGTGAGGGAAGGGAAAGGAGAAAGAAACAGAGATGGAAGAGGCAGATGACAAGCAGGAGGCAGGCAGAGAGGAGGACAAACCAGTGACCCTGCTCAAGGGTCCCTCAGGTGCAAGAGTCCACACATGGTGGGCAGAGTGGGAGTGGGAGTGGCAGCTGCAGGCCATGGAGAAGCAGGCCAAAGCACATGAGACCACTGCACTGGCCTTTGAGAGGATGGCAGATGCAGTGGAGCAGATGGTGGCAGCTGCAGAGTGGACA